ATTTTCTTCCTGCTAGGGAACGCCAGGCAGCACCCAGCCCTCTCCTCCTCTCCAGCTCCGTCCTCTCTGCGCACGCGCATGTACGTGCGCGCAGCATGTCTCCGTACCTTAGGCTTTTTTTCAGCTTCTCTGATTTTCCTTCTGGTTTTCTCTTTCCTTCTTGATGTAGAATTTTCAGTCAGTTGACTACCTGTAGCTCTGGGCAATGTCCATTTTATATTTTAGTTGTATTCCATTGAAATTGTTGTGTGCAGCTTCGGTTAGGTGTTTACCTGAGCAGCCATCTTGGATCCTCTCCCCAGTCATTGTCTTTTAAAAAATATATATTTTATTGGTTTTTTTACAGAGAGGAAAGGAGAGGGATAGAGAGTTAGAAACATCAATGAGAAACATCGATCAGCTGCCTCCTGCACACTCCCTAATGGGTACGTGTCCGAAACCGGGGTACGTGTCCGAATCCAAAGTACATGCCCTTGACCGGAGTCAAACCTGGGGCCCTTGAGTCCATAGGCGGACACTCTATCCAGTGAGCCAAACCAGTTAGGGCAGTCATTATCTTATTAGGTTGCCTAGCATAGATATGTAGCTAAATAGTGTATGATATAATGATCCTAAACACATCTGAAGACCTAGTATATATGAGGGGTGGTGCTAGGAGAGAGATGTCTGTGGAATGATTCACATCCTCTCTCTCTTTAAAAATGTTTTATCCTTACCTGAGGATATGTTTATTAATGAGAGAGAGAGAGAGAGGAGGAGGAGGAGGAGGAGGAGGAGGAGGAGGAGGAGGAGAAGAAGAAGAAGAAGAAGAAGAAGAAGAAGAAGAAGAAGAAGAAGAAGAAGAAGAAGAAGGGGGAAAGAGAGAGAGAGAGAGAGAGAGAGAGAGAGAGAGAGAGAGAGAGAGAGAGAGAGAGAGAGAGAGAAGGGGCGGGGAGAGAAAGAGAAAGATCGATGTGAAAGAGAAACATTAATCAGTTGTCTCTAGTACATGCCCTGGCCAAGGATTGTACCCACAGCCTAGGTATGTGTCTTGACCAGGAATCAAACCCACAACCTTTTGGTGTATGGGACGATGCTTCAGCTAATTGAGTCACCTGGCCAGGGTAATTCACATCCTCTTACAAGTTATGAGGATGGAGACCTGCTTCATTAGGAAGCTAGGGTGGGTGGAGTGGGGAACATGGGGACCAACTAGGGGAATCCCTTATTTCTGTTTTGCATGAGGAACCAAATCGAGACTCTCTAGTTTAATAAAAACCATGGAGAGTATCTTCTGAAGACACTGCATAAGTGTTAAGAGAAATTTTATCAATTTCTTTTGGTTGCAGTTTCCAACATTTAAAAATGTTTAGGTAATCTCCACCTTTCCCAAATCCTCTTTCTTGTAGGTTCATTAGTGTTGAACCAATGCTTTCTCATGTCTCAGTTCTTTGAATATGCATTCTTTTCAGATGTGTTAAACAAACAAAAACCCTTATAAAAAAAAACAAAAACAAAAACAAAAAAAACCTCCAAAAACCAGAACCAAAGATATCTAAGGTACAACCTGTCAATTTGGAAGAAGCTATTGTTCCATCATTTCTGGAGCTTTATTGACGAAACACACTTCTGAAAATGCAGAGGTGGGTGCGATCTGCTCCTCCCTCTAAGGATTTCACCATTTAGTGTAAATCGCAGGCATATAAATAACTAGGTGCCAGTCCATGTTGTGCTATTGGAATATAATAGAATATGTCTTCAGGTGTTCATTTCCCTCTAGAGATGGACTTCTTCCTAATCCCCACCTTCCTCTCAGATCTCAGCTTAACCACTCCTTCTTCCAGGAAGGCTTGCTGGACTTCCCCAGGAAAGTTAGAACTGCCACTTACATGCTCTGATTGCATTTTGCATTTCTTCTTGGACATTTTATATATATATATGATTCACCATTATGTTGAATATTAATTATTGGCTTTCTTGATAGACTGTGAGCTCCATGAGCACAAGAACAACATTTTTCACATTTTAACAATAGATCCCTAGGTCCTAGCACTCTTAAATCTTTTTATTGGGGGGGGGGGCTGCGGGGGGTGGGAGAGAGGATTTTGGAAGTATGGAATAGAGGGAGGGAAGAAGAAGTGATGAAACAAATGAACTCACTTGTGTCACCACAAAAGGGAATCAAAATCTCAAAGAAAAGCTTCTCAAATAAAGGAAGAAAGACACAGAAGAGAAGGAGGCTCCCAAAGCCTACATCAGGTCCTCCCACCATTTCCTGAAGCAAGGAGCCTCGCCACACATGCAGGCCACCAGGGAGCGCCACTTTAGACTGTGAGTAGCATCTCATGAACCTGCATGACTCCAAGAAGCTATTGAAATTGGTATACTGTATCCCTTTTTAATCTGTTAATCCTCACCCAAGGATACTCTTCCTGCCCCCTACCCCAATTGATTTTTAGAGAGAGTGGAAAGGAGAGACACACAGAGAGAAACATCTATGTGAGAGAGACACATTGATTGGTTGCCTTCTAAAGTGCCCCTATTAAGGCCACGGATGGAGCCTGCAACTGAGGTACTTGCCCTTGACTGGAATCGAACCCGCAACCCTCCAGTATATGGGCCGACACTCTATAACCACTGAGCATAGCCGGCTAGGGCTACGGTATCCTCTATCATTTGTGCTCTGAATATTACACGAGAGAGACTCTCCCACAGCTTTACAGGGTGATGCACTTTGAGGAAGTCACTTGCTAAGTCGTGAAAGGGACTCATCACTTTTATTAAAATAAAACAAAAAGGATGTCTGAGGTTTCGGCGATGATTTCCAGATGAGAGTGTGTCTGTGGGTGGGGAGAGCAGCACAAGAAGCACGGAGTGTTATGCCTGCTGCTTGGAAGTGTTGGTGCCTCACCATGACCAGGCAAGGGGCCGGGATTCTCTCTGAGAATCTGAGCCTGCTCTTAGGCTAGAAGCCTCCTCCCACAGCTCCAACTTAGCGAAACCGAGATGGGGCAACGTGGGAAGATAACAATACAAAAACTCTCACTCCAAACCTTGAAAAGCAAGAAATAAAAATCAGCCGGGACCGGTTTGGCTCAGTGGATAGAGCGTCGGCTTGGGGACTGAAGGGCCCCGGGTTCGATTCCGGTCAAGGGCATGTACCTTGGTTGCGGGCATATCCCCAGTAGGGGGTGTGCAAGAGGCAGCTGATCGATGACTCTCTCTCATTGATGTTTCTAGCTATCTCTCTCCCTTCCTCTCTGTACAAAAATCAATAAAATATATTTTAAAAAAAAGAAATAAAAATCAGAATGCTCTCATTTCTGACTTGGGTTTTTTGATGCTAAGTAAACTAGGAAAAGCCATGCTGAGGAGCAAGCCCTTCTCACCCCTTCACAGGGAAGTGGTCTTATACAAGCTCATTGTCTTTCCATCAAAGTAAAGATCCTTGAACCATACAATAATCACAACATCTTTCCATAACTGAGCACCATACAGGGGAGTGGGCTAGACAGTCTCAATTCCCCACCTTTGAACAGAGAGGAGCCACGAGGAGCAAGCAAATAACTTGGATCTCATGAATGAGCACATTTTCTTTAAAAAAAAATTGTCTTTATTTTATGCATGGAACTGTAGGTGGCAAACATTTCGGCAACAGTCATAATGTATTCATATTTAAGCATGTATTTATTTACAAATAATTGCATTTGTTTATACTTTGGTTCATTTGTAATAAAATTTCTCCCCACAAAGCTCTTTCAACACAGGACGTCTGAGTCCAAACAAACTTATATACATAATCACTTTTAATTCTAAACAGTAGATATTATTGCTACTAGTAGTTGTAGTACCATCATCATCAAACTCTATTTTTCCACTGTGTGATTGGCAGTCTTATCTGGTTTCATTCCCCTCCTTCCCTTGGGATAGAGACTTCTGACTATTATCTTTTCTACCACATTCTCTTGGTCTCAAGGAAGCTGGGGAGGAAATTGAAGACAAAGCCTTTTTAAATACTTTGGTGGCTTTCCACAGGACCAGCCCCAGAGCACCAGGTTTGCTACTCAGCCCCACACCAAGTCCCACGAAGGCAATATTTCAAAGACTTTACAACTGCCTACCAGAAGGACAGCACAGACCCCGTGTGTTTGTTCAGAAGCCAATGGCCAGCACTCCATGCAGCTGATCGGGCACACCCTGATCCTAACTAAGACCATTTCTGCTCATGGCTGATTGTCAGCCTTCTTAAATGGAGTCAGCCACGTGTCTCCACCAAATCCTCAAGGAGGCCTGTGTGGGCATCCGACTCTCTCCCCACTGTCTGGTCCTCACATTTACAAGTCAGCTTCCTGGCCTGTAAGGAACTCACTCGAACTACTGGGAAGGAATAAGTGGGTAAGGGGCATCCCCTCTCCATACCTGGGTGTGTATGGAATGGCTTTTCCGGAGTCTGTTCGGGGTATCCCCAATCTCCTTGATGCCCCAGCAGGGAACAGGGGATATAGGAAAACCCCTCTGCCTGGGCACTGGTCCCTGCACATAGTTGGCACTTGGCAAATGTTGAATGGACATGGGAAGAACAAAAATCTTATTGAAATGTTCAGTTTTCCAAAGCTTACAGAGCTATTGCTGCAGCTTAGGCATAACACAAGTGTGTGTGTGTGTGTGTGTGTGTGTGTGTGTGTTTGTGTGTGTGTGTGTGTGTGTGTGTGTGTGTGTGTGTGTGTGTGTGTGAGTGTGTGAGTGTGTGTGTGAGATCATTTCAGACCCAGGCTCAGGAAGCACTGACCCGACACCTCCCAATAGCAGGTGCACGCACAATCTTCCCTGCCAACCAAGAAGATATCTCATGATCTGGCTTTCTCTGGGAAAATGCTAAGAAAGAGGAAGCAAACCCACGCTTAGAAAAATCTATTTTGGTGTGTCTGACGTGCCACATCCTTCCCTTCATGGAAGGGGACGCGAAGTGGGAAGGGACTTACTGGGAAACGAGAAGCGTGGGCAGGGACAGAGCAGCTTACCGGCCAGAGAGCAGCAGGGACAGGCGGTCGATGGGCGTCTCGCCCTCCACGGCGTAGGTCTGCTCGGTGGCCAGAGTCAAGACCTGCTCCTCGCAGCAGCGAACGATCTCCTTGTACGCCTGCATGGGCACCTGCAGGGGCACGCACAGCGTCCTGTAGAGGAGGTCGAACTCCTCGGGGAGGGTGTCCTTGCGCAGGCGGTAGACCAGGTGTGCCAGCTGGAGCAGGCAGGCCGTTGCCAGCAGGAAGTTCCAGATGACAATGTCCAGGCCGCAGGCATTGAACCAGCCCCACAGCACGCAGCACACGTAGCCGGTGCCCAGGAAGCCGAAGAGATAGAAGCATCCGTACACCCCGCTGCCCCCCATGAAGCCCAGGAGCAAGACGCAGTTGGCCAGGTGGTAGAGGGCCCCTTCCACATCCTGCTTCCAGCCCGCGCACACCGGCCCCTGCCAGAGGCGCTGGCCCAGCGTGCTGCTGTCGGCGCTCATCTCTGGGGCGTCCCCAAGTCTGGTAGGGCTCTAGGATGCTCCCGCATAGGAAATTCCAAAAATGGGGCAGTCTGTCCTCCTGTGTGTCTTCTCACTCCTGGCTTCTCACCACCAACGCCACTTGTCCTAGGAGCAATGCTTCTGGCAGCGTTGGGAATGAATGGCAGGACATAGCACCCTTCACGGGGAAGTTTGAACCTTTTTATCCTCTCCCTCAGCCAGGCGCTGGCCCTGGGGCAGAGTTCTGGCCAGCTTCCTTGGCTCCAGATTCCTCAGGCCGGTCTTCACATTTGGCTCTTAGCAGGAAACCTAAATTGTCCTGAGCAAAGGGCAGGACTACTGGCCTGAACACTTCCGCAGGGAGCGATGATCAAGGGGCCTCAGCCGGCCCGCTCTCTGTTTTCCCCAAACAGAGTGAGGAGCGGCCAGCACAGGAGGCGCACTTGTGTTCCATTTGGAATGTGTCTCTCTTGGCACCGGAAGAAAGGGTGACCCCAGATGGATACCATGTTTGGAATTGGAACACCAGAGGTCCTGCCAGTGAGAAAAGACAGGCCAGGCACACAGGCAGGCTGGCAGAGCACTTAACATACCTCCCCAGAGGACAAGATAAGATCTCAGGGCAAGAGGCAGGCAGGGGAACAAAGGAAAAGGGAGCACAGAATTCACCACCACAACTCGGGCGGGACACTGTCCAGGGCTCCCTGTGCCGAGAAGCAGGGGCTCTCCTGAGGCAGGGGAACACATCAACGTAGGAAAGTATGGGACTATTACCAGAAAAAATCCTAACCGTGAGAACTGGAAAACCCCTTTATTAAGGCCTTTATTAAGTCACATTATAAATATCACTAGGCATTTATTTGACATGTTGAGTTCTACGCCAACTTTCCCCTTGTACATCTGAATCGGTTACAGTTAATGCAATGGTGGTACCTGCTCGAACCCTCACCCTACCCACCCTAGCATTTGCAAAGGTAATAACTATCACCTGTTAAACACCTGTGGCGTGCCAGACCTAGATTAGGGACTTTACACAAATGTTATTTTGGCATTACAACAACCCCAAAAATATTCTCCTCCTTCTAGCTCGGAGAGAAACTGAGGCTCAGAAAGGTAACAAGTTCCCACAAGCAGCATGTAAGTGGCAGAATCAGGATTTGAACCCAAGTCTACCAGACTTACTGCTGTGTCCCATGTAGTTTGCACTGTAAATGAAAATGTAGGACTAGATCCACGACTCCCAACCCCACACTCACCCTAAAAAGTCTGATAATGCCCAAGGAACTTCTGGATGAACCTGGGGTCTACTTTGAGTCAGCAAGAAATAAATCTGGAAAATTTAAACATTATACTATGAAATGTTCTTCTGGCTTCCAAATGACTCCTTGATTTCCCCCCTTGCTTCTGGTTAACCTTTACTTCTATTAATCCTATTGCCCCTGAGGTATGGGCTGGGGATTAGGGGGACCCAGTATCTTCCAGAACTATTCAAGTGCTCAATCTACATGGACTTTTATTATACTGCTAATAACCTAGCAATAATTAGTGAGGAATTAGAAATTGGCAAATAAGCTGAGGAGTAGAGGTTTTCAACTCAACATGAGTACTTATTATGGCCAAGCACCTAGAGCATCTAAGATTCTCAAGAACTTTCACTTTATCAAGGGAAAGATACCTCGAAAGGAAGGGTGATTCCATCAATAGAGAAGTGAATAAAAAAAACAAACTGTGATATATATACATACATATACATATATACATATATGTATATGTGTATATATATTATATAATATATAATGTAATGTTACTTGGCCATAAGAAAGAATAAAATCTTAACCATTTGCGACAGCATGGGTGGACTTAGAGAGTATTATGCTGTTAAATAAGTCAGATAGGGCAAGACAAATACATATGATTTCACTTATATGTGGAATCTAAAAACAAACTAAACAAACAAAATAGAAACAGATTCATTGATACAGAGAACAGATTGATGGTTGCCTGAGGGAAAGGGGGTGGGGGCTAGATGAAAAAGGAGAAGGGATTGAGAAATACAAATTGGTAGTTACAAAATAGTCATGGGGATGTAAAGGACAGCACAGGGAATATAGTCAATAATCCTATGTAATAAAAGGCTAACATGCAAATCGACCAAACAGCACAACGACCAGCTGCTATGACATGCCCTAATCACCAGGGGCCAGAAGCTGGGCTCTGGTGAATGCAGCAGTGGTGGCAGGAGCTTCTCCCACCTCCACAGCAGCGCTAAGGATGTCCAACGGCAGGGAGCATGCCTAAGCCATCAGTCAGACATCCCCCGAGGGCTCCCAGACTGCGAGAGGGCTCAGGCTGGGCTGAGAGGCCCCCCCAACCAAGTGCACAAATTTCGTGTGCCAGGCCTCTAGTATTATAATAACTGTATGGTGCCAGATGGGTACTGGAAATATTGAGGGGACTTCTCTGTAAAGAACAATAGTGTAACCACTAAGCGTACACCTGAAACTAATACAGAATAATATTGAATGTCAACTGTAATTGGGGAAAAACAACAAGGGTAATTCAATGTGTAATGCACAACAACTAAGGTAAATGTAAAAAGAAATAGCAGTCTAGAGGAAAGGGTGGCCTACAGGAAGGAAGATATAAGAACTAACAATTGATTCCCGGTGTAAGGGTTGAATTATTCAGGGAGGTAGAGGTAGAAGTGTTTCTAGAGATGAGAACAGCAAAAGTGAGGCACAGAAGTGTGGAAATGCATGGCATGTTGAAGGACATCAATTTTTTCTTATTTAATTAAATCAACAAACGTGCATCATATTCCAATACTCCTTTCTAAACAGGAGAATCAGTGGTAAAAGAAAAGAGGTAGAATGCCTGGAGAAGGAAAGGCCTGCCCTGGAGCCCCTCTCGCAGCAAAGGTTTAGATCGTGATGTCATTCGAGTGGTGGAGTTGGGGGAATTTCCACATGCTGCTTGTTTGCCTGCCTCCCAACCCAACCACCCACCTCCTGATAGGCAGCAGCTGCTGCCCCCTCCACTTAGTCATGCACCCCTGGAGCTGCCAATGCAGTGGTCCCTGCCAGCTGCAAGTAAGGAAATCAGAAACACAGGAACAGAGAAGTGACCAAGGACACTCTGCCAAAGATAGAATTTCAAAGCCGGTCGTTTTTCTCAGCAAGCCTGAACTGTAGGCTGGCCCCGACACGTTAAAGAGACAGGCAAACCCATTGGCTACTGTTCTCAGCCTGCGATCCTATCAATCCACACATGTGCCCATCTGAGCAGAGGGGACTAACATTTACCAAGCCACTATTGTTTCATGTCACTGCATACTTTTTTTTTTTTTTAGTGAAAGAAACGGGCTCAGAGAAGCTAAGGAACTTGCCCAAGGCCACAGAGCTGGTATATGAGCAAGGACTGTGACTCTAAACTGTATGTTCTCTGTGCTGTACCACCTTGCTAGGTGCTTTTGGGAATTGACATGTATTGCTACAGGAACATGCTATGCTGCTGGAGTGCACTGTGGGTTCAGAAACCCACACATTGCTTTCGGGGACAGTGACATTGATGCAAAGGACCCATGATGGGAATATACAATGGAAAGTTGTATCTTGTTTTTAAACCCAGATTTGATGAAAGACAAAAAGAAGAATTTGTGTCACAATGGTGTGTTCTTATAAGGAAATACATAAACATGCAGGCAGAAGCACAATAGAAAATATTTGGGGGAGAATAACAAGAGAGAGACATTATTTGTTGAGTGGACTCAATTCAATAAACATTTATTTAGGGAAAAGGATGTGCTCCAAGAACAGGGGATATAAATATGAGCAAGACAATTATCACCTTCAGGGAACTTCTGTTCTGGTGAGGGCAGCTGACCTATGAATAACAGCAATTCAATAAAATGAGTACACTCAGGACTCAAAGGAAGCACTGACAGGGGAGCAAAGATGGAAAGGAAGGTGACATTTAAGCTGGTCTAAAAAGATGACTAGGTGCTCCCCCGCTGGGGTAAGGCATTCCAGGAAGGAAGAACAGAATGTGAAGTCAAGTCCAGAAGTAAAACGAAAACACAAGGCATATTTCTGGTAACAGAGAACAGCTTGCTGTAGGTGAATCAAAGGCAGGCAGGAGAGGCAAGCAGGGGCCAGAGTATGAAGTTCAGCGTAGTGCTCTGCCAACTGGGGTCATGACTGCAAACTGTTACTGCTCCATGATGAGATGGGAACAGAAATGAATAGTATTTAGACATTTTTATAGAAAATTTGACAAGAGAAACCTGTGACTTTTGAGTTTAATAAAAAAAAAAATAAATGTGGGGCCCTTGTAGTGTTTTTTTGTTGTTGTTGTTTTTTAATTTCACTTTCCTAATATCAGTCTGTGAACTGAAACCATTAAAGCTGATTCCTCACCACCCAGAATTTGAGATACCCTGCACTTGAGATTAATGCTTCCCTAATATAGACATTAAAATAGAACAAGGCCTTTGGACACATACTGCCAAGTTGGTCTTAGACTTGTTGTATTTCCTACAGCAACCATAATCTCCTTAATTTATGGAAGTCTGATTTTGCTTCCGCAATTTGTTAAGGAAGATGGGCTTCTCCCCCAGTTGCCAGGACCTGAAGTAAGACTGGCCAAAGCCAAGCATGAGATCCCTTTCCCCTGGATGGCAACAGGTTTAAGGGTAGGCATGTGACCAGTAAGAGAAGAGGGAGTGCATGGGGGAGTTTCTGGGAAAAAGCAGATGCCTGGGCAGACAGTAAGGAAGCATAACTCTCATCCTGGCTTGAATAGTTATGTGATGATGTAATGCTTGCTTGAAGTTACCATAGCCATGAGATATGATATGCCTAAGGGCGAGAAGGGTAAAGAATAGAAAAACAGACAGGCCTCCATTCTTGAAAGTGAGCCATTATCTCAAACCTGGAACGTGCAACCTCCCGACATCAAGATGCAGCTGGTACCCTGGTGTTTGCAGTTGAATGTCTCCAGGTTCAGGTCCCCTTGAGGATTTCCGTAAGGACCGCTCTTCAGGGAAAGGTTCTCTGGACAGGACTATCTTATTATATGAAAACTGGGCAGCAGACTACTTATGTTCTATCAATGTTTTCCTCTCAAAATGTTAAATATGAGGAATTGCGCCTCTAGACTCAATTTGATCTTTCAGGATAACTTGGTTGTTGAGAAAACAAGATGTTTTAGTGGCAAATTGGACAATTGCTCACTATCCATTTACCTCTTCTTCCTTGTAACAGAACTCCAGTTTTGTTGTGATATCTAAATTATACATGGATCCAAGAGAGGGAGTGGGAGTTTTGTTTAAGCCAATCAGCATAAGGCGTTCTGCTGACAACTATTCTTGGTTCATAAAAATACAAATAAACCTAATTTGGCTCAATCAGACTTACAGGAGGGAACTCGTGCTTTAGGAATGGTTTCTCTCTTCTGCAAGACTTTAACAATAAAATATATGATTGGCTTAATCAGTCCAAAAAGGGAGAGGTCTGAGATAAAAAATAACTTGTCCTAGAAGGAATCATTGAGCCTCTATTATTGTATGCAGAACTTGCAATGGACTTCCAGCTATGTGAGTTTTCCTTTATCAGCTAGCAGTTTTTTTGTAATTTACTTAAAAATATATATATTTTTTAATTTCAGAGAGGAAGGGAGAAATAGAAACATCAGTGTATTCAAAATTCAACTTCATATTTTTATTGCTTATACTACAATAGTATACACACTGAAGGCCTGGTGCACAAAATTTGTGCACTGGAGGGGGGGTGTCCCTCGGCCCAGCCTGCACCCTCTTGGAGTCCAGGAGCCCTCGGGGGATGTCCGACTGCCTCGGAGGCAGGAGGCTCCTGCCACTGCTGCTGCTGCACTTGCCAGCCATGAGCCTGCCTTCTGGCTGAGCAGCACTCATCCTTCGTGGATGATTTAAAAAAATAAATAGATGAAAGAAAGATGATTGCCATCTGATATTTTAAATCATCCACACTGATCCTTCGTGGAGCGGGATCAGGCTGAAACCCATTCTCTGACATCTCCTGAGGGGTCCTGGATTGCAAGAGGGAGCAGGCCAGGCTGAGGGACCTCACCAGCGCATGACCAGGGTCTGGGAGGGATTGGGGAGGTTGGCCAGCCACGGAAGGGCTTTAGGGCATGTCTGGCCCACCTTGCTCAGTCCCAATTGGCTGGACCCCAGCAGCAAGCTAACTTACCAGCCAGAGAGTCTGACCCCTGGAGGTCAATGCACATCATAGTGAGAGGTTGAGCGGCTTTAGAATATCATTAGCATATTACGCTTTGATTGGTTGAACGGACCCAGACACTTAGCATATTATGCTTTTATTATATAGGATACCCACTAGACTATAAGCTCTTTTGAGAGCAGGGTCCATGTCTTACTAAGCTTTGTTCACTACTTAGCACATAGTTGGCATAATGTATATCCTCAGTAAAAATAGCCTCTCATCTCATTGAGGACAAGATATACGTGATTCACACATGAATACTCAACACTTAGGACAGCTCCTTGCACATAAGGCCTTCACAAAATATGTACAGATTGAATGAACTTATGACTATGTTTACATTAGATACCTGGTACGGGAAACAACTTGGGCCTCAACTCTCAAGATCAAGAAACATCTCTAGGTCACCAGATATTTGAACAGAGCAATTTCCTAAACCTCTCATTTTAAATGTAAAATCAGGGTTATAGTTTTTCATCACCCCCACATCAGACCTGTGGAAGGTGTAGTTATCCTAAGATAGGTTTTTGCCTAGGGCAGTGGTTGGCAAACCGTGGTTCCTGAGCCACATGAGGCTCTTTGGACCCTTGAGTGTGGCTCTTCCACAAAATACCATGGCCTGGGCGAGTCTATTCTGAAGAAGTGGCATTAAAAGAAGTTTAAGTTTAAAAAATTTGGCTCTCAAAAGAAATTTCAATCGTTGTACTGTTGATATTTGGCTCTGTTGACTAATAAGTTTGCCAACCACTGGCCTAGAGACATGGTCCTGTTCTCATCAATCCTTCATGTCAAACAGTTAAAAGTTAGACAAAGAGAAGTAATTACGGAATAGTTGAGTATATCTTTTTTAAGAGTTTGGGGATTATTGTGAATAGCAGAGGCTTGGCCATACATCAGAATGTGGTAATCACTTACTAGAAAGCTAAGTTCATTTTTCAACTTACTGTGGTGACACCTCTTAGTAGAATACTGCACATAATCTTTGGGAAGACTAAGCACTAGGGAAGACTTAAGCACTTGGTCTTGTAAAATGTGTTTTTAACTCTGGCAAATGTCAAGAAGAGTGCTTTAGTTCAGTGGGTGCCAACCGGTGGTTGGTCTGTGAGGTCCGAAAGGCTGGCGACTGCTGCTTTAGTTCCTTTACTAATCAGATGAGCAGATCTGACAAAGGTTCAAAAATATTAACCTTGCCAAGAGTTTAAGGAAATAGGCATCCTCAGATACTAAGTTACAAGTGGATACCCCTTTCTAGAGGTCAGGCAGTACTAAAAGCCTTGAAAATGTACACAGCCTCTGGCCCCAACTTGGCTAAAGTAAAAGATATTTGTGAAGACTTTCTTAGGCCAAAACCGGTTTGGCTCAATGGATAGACCGTCGGCCTGCAGACTGAAAGGTCCCAGGTTCTATTCCAGTCAAGGGAATGTACCTAGGTTCCGGGCACATCCCGGTAGGTGTGCAAGAGGCAGCTGATCGATGATTCTCTCTCATCGATGTTTCTAACTCTCTATCCCTCTCTCTTCTTCTCTATTAAAAAAAAAAAAAAAATCAATAAAAATATTTTTAAAAAAAACTTTCCTAGGAAATAGACTGGTGGAATTTCACATGATTTCTTCCTGTTTCCATAAAACCAACAAACAAAATATCCGCCCCCCACCCCCCAAAAAAGAAATCAGAAATAATTTAGGTATTTGGTATATAGTCTATTCAAGACTAAGACCCAATTCCTAGAATGGTATCTGACATAGAGCAAGCAATTTATAAAAGAATTAATAAATGTACAAACAATAGAAAACTGGTTAAATAAACCACAGAATGGATTTACACATAGCCAACACAAATTATATCATAATACTACTTAATTTATGGTAAAATGTATAAAGGGGAAAAGGCAATTATTACAATCTCATTAAAAATGTGTACCTTAGAAAAATGTTTTAAAAAATATATAAACACATAGAAACAGCATACATAAAAAATTAACACTGGTTGATATTAATTTTTGCAGTCCCAGCACATATTCAAGCAGCCTGGATAATCACCTGCCAGGGCTCCATCCTGGGTGGTGGTTGATCATCAACCTATGAACCAAGAGGTCATGGTTGATTCCTGGTCAAGGCACATGCCCAAGTTGCAGGCTCGATCCCCAGTGGAGGGCGTGGAGGCAGCCAATCAATGACTCTTATTGATGTTTCTAGCTCTCTCCCTTCCTGTCTGAAATCAATAAAAATACCTTAAAAAAAAAAAAAAGTAGCCATACACAGGTTATGTCAAGCTGCCAGAGGCCAAAGCATAACAAGCATCTGCATGAAAGTGCAAAGGAGACATTGGAAGGCCAATGGACCTTGATCCCAGCAGGGCCTGTATCAGCACAAGATTGCTCCTGCTGTGACTGCCATGGCTGGAAGTGATTTCCTAACCTGATAATTCTTACATTGTTGACCAAACTTTACCTTTGATCCGCCTGATGCATTGCTACAGTGCAAATGTGTATTCAAAGTGAATAAATGCAGGCAGGACCTAGACTCAGTGTCCCTCTTCATGCAAGAGGTTTCTAGCTGCCCCCCTTCCCCCCCAATGCCTTCATAATTCTTGTAAAGTGTACTCATTGTGTCCTTGGCCCTCCTGCAAGTCATCCTGAACTCACTGCGAAGGTCGCAGCATCAAGCAATTGAGATCTTTCAAGCCAAGGAATCCTAATGTGCTCCAAAACTTACTTTCCCAAAAGAGAAAATAATGAACAACAATATGAATTTAAAATATTAAGACTGGTGTTAGCCAGCTTTCTCAGAGATTAGAGCACAGAGCAATGAGTATCGGCCCTCGACAGGACTGCAGGTTTGATTCTGATCAAGGGCATGCACCTCTGCTGCACTCAATCCTTGGCCCATCGGGGCGCTTGTAGGAGGCAACCAATCAATGTCTCTCTCTCACACTGAAGTTTCTGTCTCTATCTTTCCCTTCCACTCTCTCTAAAAATCAATGAAAAAAATATCCTTGGATGAGGATTAACAAAAAACAAACAACATAAGTAAATAAATATCAAGATTGAAGGCTTGTCTAGTTCTTGCCTTTAAGAAAGTTAAAAATACGAAACTTTAAGTGAGATGATAATGGCTACCATCCTCATTCCAAATTGGTAAAGGGTTATTTTTTATTTCCATGTACTGATTTTGATGATTTCATTGGATGACATCAGTGTTTGCAACAAATGCCCATGAAGTATGGTAGCAACCATACTTAGGTAAAAACTGTTTGGACTTTAACCCTGCTATTCTGGCTTCTGTACTCACTTACTTGCTTAAACAGATTGAGACCTAGAGGCTAAGGAATTTTCCTGTGCCTGTGGACCAGGACCACAGGAGATTAATTCCCACTGACTCAGTAGCTCCAGAAGTTGAAACTGCAGATAACCTTTAGAGATTAACTTGGCTCAGTTCTGCTTCTGTACTATCTGCTATTGCAAGATAGGTCCACATTCCAACCTCCAGCAGGATGACCCTGTGGGCTATTCCTAGCCTTTAAAATTTAGAATTTAGAACAAAGGAAAATTTTTGTGGTTTGGACCTTTAAAAAGGACTGCCTATACTTGAAATGGAGCAGTCGTGAGTGTGGACTCCACCTGTGAGTAGTGTTCTTGCAGCCGTCCTGGCCCATTCAATAAATCCTTGCCTGCTTTTTTAATCAATTAGCAGCCTCCGATGGTCTTATTTTGACTCCAGTGGCCTTATTTCAATCCCATAACAGCCCAGAGTTCCCAGAATGACACAATGTAAGAAATTTATATTACAAGATTTGTTTATTCTACATGCTTTAATATAAATAAGCAAGTAAACATGTGACGATGTGAGGAACACAGAAAGAAACACACATGATTTTTAACCAGGGAATTTCCTTTTTTTTTTTTTTTTTTTAATAAATTATACTTTTACCATTTATGAAAGTTCATTAAAGAACTTTCCAAATTATTAAATTATCTTCATTCTTCAGGAATTATTCATTCACAGAGCAGACCACCTATAGAAAAAGATTTATTTTAGAAAGTCGGATTTCAAACATCATGCCAGACCTATGGAGTTAGGGAACTCAGGTAAGTACTGTTAACCAAATGCCACAATTATCCTAAACCAGTCATGGAATAAAAGATTCACATTTAAAAATTCTAGTTTTGCCTAACTAAAAAACATCACTAAAACTGTTCAATCCATCACAGTTTAATCTTTAGAAGTCTTTGTTGAAGTAAAACTACACATTTTCTCAAAAATGTTTTCCCCAAAAGGCTAAGGCAGTTTATTTTTACAGATACTCAAAAGAGACTTGCAAACTCCTCCTTACTGATTCAAGGATGTTTGGCAAAGATGTACAAAGCAAAAGGCATAAGTTCAGCTCTACATACAAGGCACTTCCTGTGGAAAGTTACTAACTTCATTCCAAAGGCAAAATAAGGGTAACCCTTTTGAAATCCATTTGTAAAGAACAAAAAGGGAGAGTAAAATAAAAAAGAGGGTAGCAGGTCTAATCAGCCAGTACCAGGCTTCTCTCCAGATAGCTCCCACCGACCTCCACTCCTATACCCCCAATCCTTATCCCAGAAGACAGAGAATAATGCTAAAAAGGTAACTAAGTAATTAGGGCTACCAACTCTTCAAGTCTAATGCAAGTTTCCCTCATCTAGCTATTCCCTGTATTTGGTTTAGAAAAGATAAGCCTCATCAACAATAAAATATCTAAATTCTCAATTTTCTAAAAGTCTCTAAGGACAAATACAGTTAAGGGAAAGGTTTGAGCAGGAAAAATAACCAAAAATGAAGCTATTCAACATTCAATAGCAGTCCATAGCAAACACTGTTACCTCATTTCACATATGGAAACCATTTGGTTATATCTTTGGGTGTAAGTTCTTGGCAGAAGAGATCCTGTTTTTCTCATCTTGGCATTTTTTTTTTTTTTAGGGTCTTAAACAATAAATATCTATTGAATAACTAAATGTTTGAATAGCAGAAATAACCCTTTTCCTAGTTTTGTCTCAGAATCATATTCTCATACATTATCAGTTGCATGTATGTGCGTATGAAATCAGCATATTTTAAGTATATTTCATCCTACTATTAAGTTCAGTTAAACTTAATAAATATTATCACTACCACTAAATGGTAATCCTCTAATTTATTTCAATGGCTTTAGCCCTCTAAGTGAGTTCTTCAAGTTCCTTCTGAATCCTAAAGGCAGAAAGAATACTAGCTATTTTCTCTTTACATTTTTTTTTAGCAGGTTCTAGGTTCCTCTAGTTCCCCTTTCAGTGAAAGCAGCAGTCCTAAGACAGAAGGAAGTGTTGAGAATCACCATCACACACCTAATTTTTCTTAAGAGTAGTTTTTGAGCCTCAGCTTTTAGTACTATTAAATCTTTCAATAGTTTTATTTAGAATTATCCCTTCAGCTTAAGCCACTAGTTGTTAAAGAGGGGCACACTTGAATATTATCTAGGAGTTTCTGAGCTAACAGGTACAGACTGGGACCCAAGCTTGTGAGTTTAGGAAAATATGCCTCAGCAGGAGATTATAAATTACACCCCTGGTTGAATACAGCCTACTGTTATATTAAGTTCCAACCTACATTAAGAAGGTATAATTAAGACCTACATTATTTAGAATATTAATATTAATATTAATACCTACTAAGGTTTTTGAATTTGGAATATTCAAACTCATTACTGGGAAGACCTAAGTTTGCAAAAATATTTTTCCCTTGAAGCTACTGTCAGAAAAATGTGGCCTGTCTGAGATGTATGAATTCAGTTAAGTTAATTTTATAACAATGCAGATAGCAATGTTGGATTTTACCCTACAGCCAATGATCTGGTTATATACATATGCATTTCAACAATAGGTCTAATTAGCATCATAATGAAGTTCTCATATTATTAATCAAGACTATACACAATCCTGAAAGTGAAATGTTGGCAATAAAGCCTCATTTAGTGCAAGGAGTATAATTTGCCCTACCCAGTGGTTCAGTTGGTTGAAGTGACATCCTGTATACAAAAAAGGTTGCAATGAAAAAATATCAAGCGAGGATTAAAAAAAATAAATGAGATCTAGACTCTAGTTTTAATTCCATCATCTATCCACTCAACTTCACTGTTCCTCCATTTCTCCAGGGGGGCCAGGGAAACAGGACACCTGTCCCTCTTCCAAAACTTCTTAGAAGAGCCCTCTCCTGAATTCTTAGAAGGGCCTACATGGATTCAGATTGTTCTTCTAACCAGATATCAAAAATACATTAGGTCACATATTCAACAGACTTCAACTGAAGGTTTGCTATCCACAACTCCCAAGATACAAAATATTCTTCTCTGGTTTCTACTTGACAAGTTTACAAAGCCTATTCATACATATATCATTGAATCATCACAATTACTCTATAAAGTAGTTTGGTCATTATTATTATCTCTGCTTTACAGATGAGGAAACTGAAGTTCAGAAAGTTAAGGACTGCCCAAGACCATGCAACCAGTTAAACACCAGATCTTCTAAGTCCAAAGCTCTTGTATTTTCTTTTATAGACAAACTAGGGCCCAGTCCATGAATTCGTGCACCTTGAAAGGAACTGTGGGCCTCGAGGTTGCAGTGGGCACAAGGGCGGGTCTCAGCCCATCATCCTCGCCCACACCTGGCCCCTCCTGCCACAGCCCCCATCCTATCTGCTCCCACGTGCTGAGATTCTTTAAAAATCATCAATAGGTATATTTATACTTTTAAGAACACAACCCCTACTCAAACTTACTTATTTTACAAAATGGTTCACCAGGAATCATCTAATCTAAAAGTCACTTAAGTATCTCATATATAGAGTAGATATATCATAACATATTTAAATTAAAAAAAATGTATTATGGTTCTCTTTTTATAAAGAAAAAGTAAAGTCCAGCCCTGTCCAGTGTTACTCTCAGTGGTGTCAGCTCAAGCTCGGAAAGATCTCGGGTTTGATTCCCAGTCAAGGGCATGTACCTGTGTTGCAGACTCAATCCCCAGTACCAGTCAAGGCATATATGGGAGGCAACCAATCGATGTCTCTCTGTCTCTCCCTATCCCTCCGTCCCTTCTTTCCACTCGCTCTAAAAAAAAAAAAAATAATACACACACACACACACACACTCGCTCTAAAAAAAAATAATAATAATATACACACACACACACACACACACACATATATATTTCCTTGGGTTAGGATTAACAAAACAAAAAGTAAAGTCCAAAGAGGATGTAGCTGAAGTAAAACATACTAGACAGCAGGAGAACCAAAATTAAGCCCGAGCATTTACAGCCTGGACTGTTTTTCCACTATACAGTGATTCTTATCAGCTTGGGACAAGTTCCCACTATACAGTGATTCTTATCAGCTTGGGACAAGTTCCTTACCCTCCTTTTTTATAGCTCAATGAGGAACAGTGGCCATATGTGCAATTCTAAACAGGCAGGAAAGAGGTGATAGGGAGAGAAGCCAGGCTCTCTATTACTGTTATATTGGTATGTGGTCTCGGCATTATCTCTCAGCTATTATTAAAAGTGGTGGTGTGATGTGGAAAGCCCAGGGCAGGGGGGCACAAAGCAGAGGGAGTCTGCCTGGAGACAGGTTCCAGTTCTGATTCTGCTAACCCACCTCTGGAATCATTTCATACTTACAGGACTTAATTTCATTTATTTATTCATTTAATAACAATCCTCCAATGAACACCTACTATGTCTTAGGTCCTGGGGATGTGACAGTGAGTGAAATTCCACCATCTATCCACTCAACTTCAGCAAGTCTTTTTGACTTCACTGTTCCTACTATCTCAGAGATCATATTCTAGTTGGAGTAAAACAAAGCTGATGATAAATACATACATAATATGCAGGAAATGGTATTAAGAATAAAGTAGCCACTAGCTCATGTGGCTATTAGATAAAACTAAAAATATACTCAGTTTTACTACTCACATATCAAGGGTTCAACAGCCACATATGGCTAGTGGCTACCATACTGGAGAGTGCAAGTACAGGACGCTTTCGTTATCACAGAAAGTTCTCTTGGACAGGGCTAGGATACAGTGATGAGGGAGGGATGTTTATTTATTTATAAATATATTTTTATTGATTTCAGAGAGGAAGGGAGAGATAGAAACCTGTACATCCCTTACTGGGAATCAAGCCCACAACTGGGGCATGTGCCCTGACTGGGAATCAAACCCATGACCTCCTTGTTCATAGGTCAACACTCAACCACTGAGCCTGCCAACCAGGTAAGGGATGCTATTTTAGATGGAATGTTAAGGAAAAGCCTCTCCAAAAAGGAAGTATTTAAACAGAGATCTGAATAAAGTGAGGGAGTGAGTCAAGTTGCTACCTGAAGGAAGAACTTCCAAATGAAAGAAAAATCATTTATTAAGGTTCCCTTCAGTATTAAAATTTAGATTAAAAAAAAAATCAAAAAATAAAATAAAATAAAATTTAGATTCAAAGTTCTTCAAAATATGGTCTGAGTTTTAACCAGTTAACTGCCACACATCCAAAACGAAAACCATCCCCACACACAATATTTTAAATTTAATTTAAAAAAATCAATTTTGCAATGAGTATTATAAAAATAAATATATTATTCATAATTCGAGTGTTTTTGAATATTTTTAGCTGAAAACTCTCAGGAAAAATGATTTTAAAATTGGTCAGGGCTGCCACTTAGGGAAAACATTTTTTTTATAGACCTGCATGGTGTGTGGGGAAGGTCTGCCGCTTGCGTATAGATGCTTATGGCATACAATAGGTTAGTTATTAGAATAAAGTGCAGTACAAAAGAGATATAGCAAAAATTCCATTTTTGTTTTGCAGAAAGCAATACTTCATGTGTTGCCCACTCTGTTTAAAAGCACTTATTAAAGACTCACAACATTAGAAACAAGGAATAGAGAATGTTTTTCCTATAGTTCCTTTAAGTTGAACACCAAAATATAGTGAAATCCCTAAGCCATGATTCCTTGTCAAGCCCCTTCTTAAAAGCTAAATTCTTCCCTTTCCAAATCCATCAAATACCTCTCAATTTTTAGCACTACTAACTGAAAAGTTATTTTTTAGTGCTACTTCAGTGTGTTAGATTAATCAGGTCAACTACCTTTCAGATACAATGTTGCCCAATGACTGCTAAATCTATAAAGCAATAGAGACATCTGAAGCAATAAGCCTATGTATTACCTTCCCCATCAGGGAGAACCATGCTCACCATTTCATATCTTAAATCCCAGGGCTCTCATGCACTCCTTGTGGGCCTCAATTAGGTGTCCACAGTGCTCTTCTCCTTTCTCAATAATGCTACAAAACAAAATGTACTTGTTATCTAACAAAGTAGCCATTAAGCAGATTAGCAGTAAATAAGCATGTATAACAGTGTCGTGGAGTGAGGCAGAACATAGTCTGATGAATGTAGCGGGAGTTAAAAACAAATGTTCTTCTGGTTTGTCTAATAATCCAATAGGCTGGAGACACTAGCAAGAGAAAATAATCGAATTTAATACATAAGGGAACATAGGTATATAAGACATCCTGAGCTAGGGATGAGACAAAGTGCCTTGGGGGCTTCAAAAGGTCACTGCAGGATTTAAAAAAGCAGATACTTAATAAATACTCAGAAGTTTGTCCTGTCCCGTAAATAGGTCAAAAGAAGTTATTTCTGATAATCTCTTATAGGCAAGGCCCCTAATTCAAATTCTTCTAGGTAGTTAAGGGGGAAGGGCAGTGTGTGGGGGGAGGCAGATTCTCTTGAAGCCACAGCTAACACTGCCTTTAGCTCAAAATCACCTGCAAATCACAGAAGCACATCTTGGGGTGACTTGTTTTGAACTTCCCGTTTCAATTCTCCCTCTACAATGTTATTTGCAAAATACTAAGTATTAATAGAAAGCAATGAGCTCCTACAGCTCTTATTAACCTCATTATGCCATTTGTAATTTCTTTACTTCTTATGTAAGGACAAAAAGGGGTTGAAGGAAGTGTACATTCACATCTGAAATTCCTAATAATATTCGTTCCACAAGAGTGGCTGTATAAAATGAAAACAAACAAAAGCTTTTGTGGAACGGTGGTAATCTAGAGGTACACTTCTGAACACTACAATGTCACCTAACGGACATAAACGGGCTTAAATTATCTACCTTAGGGGGGGAAGAGGGACGCTTTAGTATTGTTAAGAAATGTACCTTGTGTCCTACTGTGTCTAAAATCTGGCAGGCATTACCAGAAAATTATTACTGTTTGGTTTTGCTAAATGTTTCATACTAGTCCATACCACCTGGTATAGCCATTACCGGAATGTCTCCATTAACTTAAAGCTCCTTTAAATCAAGCAGCAAATGTATCCATTTCGACATCTTCCGACCTAAAGTTATGTTCAAAAACCCTTCCTAGGAGAACACCAGTGTGTGAACGGAGCTCGGGGTCAATGTGACCTCCCTCCTAACCCTTCACCCGTTTCCCACCCGAGCGGCGAGCTCAGGCCGCAGCACAGCCGACCCGGAAGCCTCCTGGGCCCCAGTAAACCCGAAAGCGCCGCTCCGCAAAGCCAGGGCCAGGCAGGCCCGCCCCGGGCGGTGCAGCGGGCCACGCCGCGGGGAGGAGGCGCAGGGCCGCCAGCCGCCCCGTCCCGGGCCGCGCACTGACCACGCATCGCGCGCCTTCTTGGTCTCCGGGCAGGCGCAGCAGGGCTTCAGCGGCTTCTTCTCCTGCGTCTCAGGAGGGGCAGGGCTTGCGGCCGCCAGACCCGGCATCTTGCAAGAGGAAAGCAGCTGCTAGCGCGGGAACCCTCAACGCTCCCAACCTCCGCAAACGCTGGTTCGCTCGCACGTACTTCCGGCATCCGGTCCAGAAGGACAGGAAGTCCTGCCTCTCAGACAGTTGGGCGCGGAAGAGGGAGGGATCAAAAGGACGCGTGCGCACAAGTGACTAAAGGACGGCACTGGCCCGCCTCTTCGGCGCAGGCGCAGAGAGGCGAGGTGAAAGGGCGCGGAGAGTTGAGAACTCACGAAGGCTGAGAGTGCGGAAATGAGACATCATCGCTCAAGCCCTTCACTCACCGCAAATCTGAAGCGCTAGGAAGTGAAACGTCTTGTCCGTGACAAGACCGCACATTACTGAAAGCCGGCCCCCTTGGAGTTAGAGCTCAGTTCTCTGTATTTCAGGATGGACTCTGCCTTCTTCCTGCCCCTCGCCCCCCACTGGTTTTCACTGACCTCGTTAAAGACTTAATTTAAGACACTGAACAACGAAATTGCACAGTATTGAAAAAAAATTTCCCTTCCACCCATACCTCACCCCATATACTTTAAATCCACAGTTCATGGATGTGTCTATAGCTCTCTCTCACTAATTTGATTTCAGTAGGAATTGCTCAATCAGGACAAGTACAGTATACTGTTAATAAAATTGCAAAATGCCTTATTCAGTTAGGTAGATAAATAAACTTGTCTGTTATTTGCAATACAATGTACACAACCATTGTGTGTGTGTTGTTTTCTTTTTTAAATGAGAATTATTGGACAAAGAGATAGAACTATTTTTTAAAGCAGGACATTGTGGCATTATTCAAATTTGGGTAATCAAAATTTCAATTATCACCTAACCAAAGTTTGTTTCTGTGTTTCAGAGATTTAGTTCAGGGAATTCATGATGCTGAATGGAATTAGTTTCTATATTCGTATTTTCTAAGTTACTAAAACCATTCCCACTTTGTCATCTAAAAACCTCTAGTAAGCATGATTTTTACTTCATTATGGGATTGTTATGTTTAATAATAAAACACATTGCTCTTACGTCCTCCCAAATGTACCCTTATCTACTGTTATCAATTCTTTCAACTAGGTGTTCACTTCTGTTGTTTAGTACCTTGCCACTCTAATGGTGTTTCTTGAACTATCAACATCAACATCCCTTGGAAACATAATCCTACCTAATAAAAGAGTAATATGCAAATTAGCCACCATTCCACTACACCGACAAGCCATGCCCACCAGCCAATCAGAGCAAGTATGCAAATAAACCCAACCAAGATGGCTACAGCCACAGAAAGGAGGAGGGAGTCTTGGGTTTTTCAGGCAACAGAGAAAGCCAAGCTTTCCGCCTGCCCTTGCCAACCTAGGCCTCCACTCAAGGCTACAAAGTTTCCATTATAGAAGGTAAACAAATCCAAACAGAAATGGCTGCAGAGCGAGCAGGAGGCTTGGCTCCACTCCAGACTACAAAGTTTCAATTGTAGAAGGTAAATAAATTCCAGATACCAGGGCGTTACCTGCAAACCACCACAGGCCCCTCACTCAGGCTGCCCCACGCCCCAAGGGAACTCCCACCCTGATCCGGGACACCCTTCAGGGCAAACCAGCTGGCCTCCACCCGTGCACCAGGCCTCTATCCTATCTAATAGAAGAGTAATATGCAGATTGACCACCACTCCAACACACAAGATGACTGCCCCCATGTGGTCAAAGATCCTGCCCTCATGTAGACACAAGATGGCCAGCAGGGGAGGGCAGTTGGGAGGCACCAGGCCTGCAAGGAAGGGCAGTTGGAGGCAATCAACCCTCCAGGGGAGGGCAGTGAGGGGTGACCAGGCTGGCAGAGGAGGGAAGTTGGGGGCAAACAGGCTGGCAGGGGAGCAGTCAGACATCCCTTGAGGGGTCCCAGATTGGAGAGGGTGCAGGCTGGGCTGAGAGACTCTGCCCCCCCCCCCCCCAGGCCCCATGCACGAATTTAGTGAACTGGGCCTCTAGTATACAATAACACAGTTCAACAAATCATTAGGGAAAAGAAAATTAATTGGAAAAAAGGAAGAGCACTGGATGCATTAGGTCAAACTAAAAAATTGATGGACGACAGTGGAAAAGATTATCTTCACATCCAGGAGGAAGGCACAACCTATTTGAAAAACACCAATTGCAAGAAAATAAATTGATAAAGTTAATTGCATCAAAATAAAAAAGGAAACCATTAAAGTGATTGGTCTAACCAAAATCTAAGTCTATAAATCCCTCCAGGTTACAAAGTCAAACTCATTTCTCTGAAATTTATTAAAGTGAAGGAATCCAGCTTTTTCCCAGGCTTTCCTCTAAGATTCCTATATTTTAGTATAAAACCAATGAGTTGGTGAAAGTCTTCTTAATAAAAGAATTCCAGGTAATAAAGAAAATTGTTGCAAGTGTTAGAATCACTGTTCTAGGATGAAAGACTTCAGAGGCATACCAAAATGCAATGTGAAGACTTCTTATCTTTTGATCAGAACAAACCAACTATTAAATGACATCTTGGACACAACCAGGGAAATTTGAATAGTAATTGAGTATGAGATGATATGACAGACTTATTAATTTTGTTGGATGGTTAAGTTCTTTCTTTTCTTTTTCTTTTTTCTTTTTTTTAAAAATCCGTATCAGTTTGAGATGAAGATTAATTTAAGGGTAAAAATAATGTCTGGGTTTTGTTTTTAAATACTCAAGCAAAAAGAGGGGAGGGGATCGATGCCATGAGATTGGTAAAATGTTGGTAATGGTTAAAAGTGGATTCACTTTTGCTTATGTTAAAAAAATCTCCCCTAATGTAAGTAGTTTCAAAAAGCAGAGCTAGTGCCTACAGTACGTGACCCCTGTTGATTTAAGGTCAGGGGAAGTGGCAGCAGAGTGCGTGTCAGTCACAGCAGCTCCGGGCCTAGAAGGCTGACGGCCCTGGGACCGGGCCTCGAAGCTCCCAGGCTCCGCGTTCGGGAGCTTAGATTCCTCAGCTCGCAGAAGCAGCCCCACGAAAAGGGGATGTCCGAAATGAACGACAACTAGAAGGTTCTGAAATTCCCCAGGGATTTCCGAAAGAGGTTACAAGTAGCCGCTGGATTTGAGCAGCAGCCTTTCCCCCAGCCTCTAGCCCTGCAGCCTGGAACTGGGTGGGCGGCTGGAAGCTCGAGGCTCCGCCTTGGGAACGTAGTGGAAGTAAGGCGGGCTCTTCCCCCTCCCAAGCCTTACCCTTCCTTTCTTTCCCCTCCGCTCCCCTTCCCTCCCCCTCCCCTTCCCTTCCTCTTCCTTCCTACCCCTCCGCCCTCTCCGCTCCGGATTCCTCATTCTCACCCCACTTCTCTCTCCCGAGCCAGCACAGCTCCCTCTTGGCCCCACCCCAACTCTAGCCCCGCCCCTGCTCCTCGCCCCGCCCCTCCTGCTCCTCGCCCCGCCTCTTCCTGCTCCTCGCCCCGCCCCCACGCTCCAGTTCCTGTGGAGGTTACCATAGCTACGGTGCACACAGCCACTCCGCCTACCTATTTGGGACTCTGCTGGCGGGAGGGAAGGGGAGGCACCATGAGCCAAACCGTGACCATCCAGGAGCCCCGGACCAAGCAGCGGGGCCCCAAAACCCGTTGCGAGGTGAAGTCGGAGGCCAGGGGCCAACTCTTCAACGGCCGAACGTATGATTACCTGTACGGTAAGGGAGCCCCGGACCTCCCTCCTGAGCAGTGGCCGCCGTGGGCCCTGAGACGGCGGCCCAGGCGAACGAAAGACGAGCCTAAGGGCAAATCCCTTGCTGTCCTTGGCGGTGTGGGCTGCTCTGAAGCCGCCCAGGCGCTGGGCGCCACTCACTCTTTGCCATCCTCTCTTGCTGATACTTTGCACAGCCTTAAGCTAAAACTCACATCCTAGGAGTTTTCGTTTCAAGGAAAATATGCAATGATTTGCAGGTTTGGAGAGTCACTCAACATCCCTACATTCAAACTCCATAAAATGCCAAACAAGAAGGACCTTTCCGTTGCCATTCGCTGGACACCTCCAAATCTTGGCATTCTCGGGGAAAGTGCCAGTTTGTCTCACCGTAGTTTTTAGTTTTCTCTTTAAACTTATTCTTATCCAATAAAGCATCACTGGGTCCACAGATCCCCTTTGGGCCACTAAAGCCCCAATTTACTGTAATGACCTGATTGTCTCTTGTACTGGACCTTACGTCCTGTGCATTTTCTAAGTTCTTGTTCTATACATATTTGTAGTCAATTCATTACCTAATCCAGTGCTGGTACATATGCTAGGTGCCTCATAAACGTTTTTTTTTTTAAATTATTGAATTTACTATTACAGAACTTACCATCTTTAAGCATGACCTTTTTCCAATCTTGCCTCAGGAGGCCCAGGCTCTCACCTGAACCTTGCATTGCTTTTAACTCTATCTTATGTCCTCTGGGATTCCCAGGGTCTCCTTTGGATGAGAATTGCATAGAATACCCATTTCCTATTGGGACTGTGTAATGAAACCTGCTCCTGGTTTCATCTTGTAAAATAAATCTAGTAAACTCCTCTAAACGCATCACCATGTTTATTTCAAAGGTAATTCAGAACTATGGATAGACATCTTCCTTCAGCAAAGACAGGCAAAGAATTTATTAAGCTCCTTCTTTCTTTTATCCCTAAAAGTAATTCCCCTCACCACCGCCCCACCCCATCCAACCCCAGAGAGATTCCTAAAAGTTTCCACATCCACTCAGAATAGGTCAAATGAAACTTTGGATAGCTCTAATAAAACAGGCAGTCTCACAGCTATTCATGGACAGGAAGCATAACATAGCCAGGGCAGGGACGTCAGAACTAAGGTGCCGAGGCCTCCTGCTCAATATCTTGGATCTTATGGTCTTTCATTCTGGTAGGGTTAGCAGGTTTAGCAATAAAAGAGTGGACATTGCCAAGGCCGGTTTGGCTCAATGGATAGAGCGTCGGCCTGCGGACTGGGGGGGGTCCCAGGTTTGATTCCGGTCAGGGGCATGTACCTTGGTTGTGGGCACATCCCCAGTGCGGGGTGTGCAGGAGGCAGCTGATCGATGTTTCTCTCTCATGGATGTTTCTAGCTCTCTATCCCTCTCATTTCCTCTCTGTAAATATCAATAAAATATATATTTTTTTAAAAAAAGAGTGGACATTGCCCTGGTTGGATGGCTTAGTTGGTTGGAGCATTGTCTAGTACACCAAACAGTTGTGGGTTCAATTTCCAGTCAGGGCACATACCTGGGTTGCTGATTCAATTCCTGGTCAGGGATGTACATGAGGTAACCCACCAATGTTTCTCTATCACATCAAGGACACTCTCTCTCTCTCTCTTTCTCTCTCTCTCTCTCTCTCTCCCCTCTTCTTCCTTCCTCTCTCTCTAAAAAAAAAAAAAAAAAAAAATCAATCAAAACATATCCTTAGGTGAAGAGAGAGAGAAAAAAAAAAAAAGAATACAGGACACACCATTACATTTGATTTGAGGTAAATAATGTGTATGATTTTGGTTTACATTTTTAATCCCATGCAATATTTGGGACATCCTATATAATGAAACCCTAATATGCAAATCGATCAAATGGCAGAACAACGGATTGAACTACCAGTTACAGTGGTGCCTCACACAACGAACTTAATTCGTTTCAGGAGCAAGTTTGTTATGCGAAAAGTTCGTTATGTGAAACGTGTTTTCCCATAACAATACATGTTAAAAAAAATAATTCATTCTGTAGCATAAAATATGCTAAGATGACATAAAAAAGATAATTTTTTTTTTTTTAAATATATTTTATTGATTTTACACAGAGAGGAATTGAGAGGGACAGAGAGTTAGAAACGTCGATGAAAGAGAAACATCGACCAGCTGCCTCTTGCACACCCCCAACTGGGGATGTGCCCGCAACCAAGGTACATGCCCTTGACCGGAACCGAACCCGGGACCCTTCAGTCCGCAGGCCGACGCTCTATCCACTGAGCCAAACCGGTCCCGGCAAAAAAGATAATTTTTTTGTTATTATTTTTATTTAGATACATCTAAAAACATAATTTTTTAAAAAAAAAACACACATTTTTTTAATTTTAAGACAGACTAAGTAGAGTCTACTGAATCTTGCACATCTTCATCCATTTTCTGCTTTTTGGCCGATGGTTTCATGAAAAACCTGTCCAAAGTCGTTTGTTTTTCTCTTTTCTCCAACATCTGCCGGAAATAACGGACAAGAGTATCGGAGTAAAGATCGTTGATCCTGTTTGCTTCAGCTGAATCCGGATAGTGGGCATTGGTAAACTCCTGAACTGCTTTCCATTTGACCAGGATGTTCTTGATGTCAGCAGTTGGGATTGGTTGATTATTTGGTTGTTGCTCCTCGTTATCAGATGACGCTTCCCTTTGAGCATTGTCCTGTTGCTGGACCAGAAGTGCTTGGAGCTCTTCAGTTGTCAGCTCTTCTTCGTGTTCCTCAATAAGCTCCTCTACATCCTCTTCCTCTACCTCTAATTCCAACCTTTGGGCCACTGTGATGATGTCCTTCACCACTTCTGTGTCATCAACTACTGCTTCTTCCTGGGTCCACGAAGGCACAAGCATCTTCCAAGCAGAAATGAGGGTCCTTTGTGACACTTCTTCCCAGGCCTTCTGTATAAGTCGTATTGCCATAAGGACATCAAATTTCTCCTTCCAAAACTTTCGGACAGTCATATTGTCTCCACCAAACTCGTATTCTTCAAACACCTTATTAAAGAGGGCTCTAGTGTAGAGTTTTTTAAAGTTCGCAATAACTTGCTGATCCATTGGCTGAAGAATGGATGTGGTGTTTGGTGGCAAATACTGCACCTTGATAAAAAGATAATTTTCCTGCAATATTTCCTCTAGGTCTTTTGGGTGAGAAGGGGCATTGTCAAGTATCAGAAGGGCTTTGAGCGGCAGTTCTTTTTCCAGCAAGAATTTCTTCACGGCAGGAGCAAAGGTTTCCAGAATCCATTCGTTGAAGATAACTCTTGGGTCACCCAGGCTTTTTGATTGGACTTCCAATGGACGGGCAGTTTGGACTTAATAACGTTATTTTTCTTGAAAATTCTTGGATTTTCAGAGTGATAAACCAATAGAGGTTTGATCTTGAGGTCTCCGCTGGCATTAGACGAAAACATAAGGGTAAGTCTGTCCTTCGTGGCTTTGTGTCCTGGCAATTTCTTCTCCTCTTTTGTAATGAAGGTTCTGCTCGGCATTCTTTTCCAGAAAAGACCCGTTTCATCGGCATTGAACACTTGTTGTGGGCAGTATCCTTCATCCTTAATACATTTTTGAAAGTTAATAGAGAACTTTTCTGCTTCTTTCTTGTCAGCACTGCCAGCCTCACCATGCATAGTAACGCTGTGGATTCCACACCTTTTCTTAAATCTAAAAAACCACCCCCTGCTGGCTTTGAATTCTTCTTCATTATCTTGATTGCTGCTACTTCCAGGGACGTTTTTCTTTAGATCGTCATAAATTCTCTTGGCTTTGTGACAGATAATATCTTGGGTTGTTACGTCACCTTTCACCTGCCTGTCCTTAATCCAAATCGCTAATAGCCTCTCCATTTCCTCGTGGATTGAAGACCTATGTTTTTCATGAAATAGTTTTGATACTCCTTTGGCTACTTTGGCTGATTTGATCGCATCCTTATTTGTCAAAATGGTGAAAATGGTGGTCTTGCTGAGGCCAAACTCTTTGACGAGGTCACACTGTTTTACCCCACATTCACTCCTTCTAATTATTTCCTGTTTCATTTCAACAGAAATCACCTTCCTGCTTTTTTTAGAAGCCATGATATAAAAAAAATATTGAGTTTAACTTAACAGGACGACTGTCGTGATACGTGCGTGATTTAATTCGTAATGAAGAACGATTGCCGCGATACGTGCTTAAGTTAAGCGCAGTGACTAACGACTGCCTGCAGTGCCTGCGCGGAAGGATGCAATACTTCGGCAGCGATCGTGGAAGCTCGGGCGAAGCAGTCGTGGAAGCTCGGGCAAAGCGGTCGTGGAAGCTCGGGCGACTTCGTTGTGTGAAACGAAGTTCGTTGTATGACTCATGAAATGAAGTTCGTTGTGTGCAGCGTTCGCTGTGCGAGGCGTTCTTTATGCGAGGCACCACTGTACTATTAATATGATGCGCACTGACCACCAGGGGGCAGACGCTCAATGCTGGAGCTGCCCCCTGGTGGTCAGTGTGCTCCCACAGAGGGGAGTACTGCTCAGCCAGAAGCAGGGCTCACGGTTGGCGAGCGCAGTGGTGGGGGGAGCCTCTCCTGCCTCCGCAGCAGCACCAAGGAGCAGGAAACCGGTGGGTGATAAGGAGCTAAGGAGCGAGGAGTCCCAGACTACAAGAGGGATCCCAGACTGTGAGAGGGATTCCAGACTGCTGGGTTAGGCCAATCCACATCAGGCCTAAGCTAGCAGTTGGACATCCCCTGAGGGTCCTGGACTGTGAGAACTCGCAGACTGGGTTGAGGGCCACCCCCCAATGAATAAAATTTGTGCACCAGGCATCTATGATAGTATTTATATAAAATGTTATTCTTTGCTTCTCTGAAATTCAAATTTAACTGGGCATCCTCTATTTTATTTAGTAACTCAAACCCTCCTTTTGATGTATATGCTTCCTTCTTCCATCTGACAGAGTTGCAGTGTATGGATTTCTTTGGCTCTGCTAGGGACTTGGGTGGCACTCTACATGAGTTCTTAGCCTAAAGCTCAACACCAATTGTATAGAGTCCTTGTATATCTTAGCTGAAAATTGGAGAAATAAAATAAGTTGTTGACCAGGGTGGGTATGGAGGTCAATGGTACAAATATGAACACCCTTCCAAGCTTTTTCACCCTTCCTCTGTCCCTACCTCTCAAACCCAATGGCCTTCCAATGTAGTTAATTATCTATTTAAGGCTCCTCTAGAAAGCTTTGCTTGGGCATAGTCACTCAATGTCATTTTACTCTTGTGATCACTGTAGTAATTAAGATAAATTCAGATACCTTATGTTTCTATAGTATTTTACAATTTATATTCTTTTATAAATTCTAACTGACAATCATTTATATACCAGTATGCATTTCCCTCCGGTTTTTTTTTTTTTTTTTTTTTGCAAATGCTGTGCATCATGTATCTCTTTTGAAGTGCCCACTATGCTTTGTCACTTCCTTGAATCTGTACAGTTGTCTATGGATTAAGAGCTACACTATTGTCCTGATAATTAAAGTCTTTTAAAATAAAGATTTTTCCTAGCTTTCAAACTATTTAAAAATATTTTCTAGGTTTATCATGAGCTCTTTTCTCCTTTTATCTCTCCCCAGAATCTGCAGATTTTTATACCTCCCACTAAAAGTAATCATTATGACTTGGCATTTCAAACACTTCTCACCACTACTTGGTTGTGACAACTTCCTGGGCCTTTTAGAACCGTTTCTACAATACAATATGGGTAAATTGGCTGAGGGGCTCTCTCATGATATCCATGGGAATTTCCCCCCATAAAATTCATGGGCTTTTGATACTATTAAGCCTGGGAGCCAGAGGATTGGGATTCAAATCCTAACTGCCAGTTAGTAAGTTGCTAACTTCTTAAAACCTCCATTTCCTCGCCCATAAAATGGAAGCCTAGCACCTACCTTATTGCGTTTTTGTGAAGGTCAAGTCAAATATCTATAATAATAAAAGTGTAATATGCTAATTAGATTGGACATCCTTTCGGGCATCCTTCCAGATGAAGCCGAAGCCGTGGTGGTGGGGGCAGAGCCCCTTGCATGAATTTCATGCATTGGGCCTCTGGTTGCATATAAAGCACTTAATATCTGTCTAGGAGTAAGCAAGCGATACCTGGTGACTGCTATTACATGGGCATCTCAGAGAGTCTCCTGCTCCTCCCCCCACCCCCCGTTTTGAGAATATTTATGAATTTATTTGAGTCAAACTGACAACATATGCTGGGGATCAAGACCTCAATGCTCCCTTTACTGATTATTGAGCACTGATTATGATCACAGTTGTAGGATATATTGCAGAATGTGTAGTCACAAATCATGCAGTATCTTTTATAGATGGCAAGAATCTTTCTTAGATATCATGTCTTCACACTCCATGTGGGAATAAGAGGAGAATGGTTTATTATTTACTAGTGTCCTGTGTACGAAATTCGTGCATGGGTGGGGGGTTCCCTCAGTCCAGCCTCTCCAATTGGGGACCCATTGGGGGATGTCTGACTGCCGGTTTAGGCCCGATCCCTGTGGACATCCCCCTTGCAATCTGGGACCACTGGCTCCTAACTGCTCACCTGCCTGCCTGATCACCCCTAACTGCCTCTGCTTACCTGCCTGATGGTCCCTAATATCTCTGTCTGCCTGCCTGATCAACCCAGTGGCCCTTCCCTGCTGGCCTGATATCACTCCCAATGCCCTCCCCTGCTGACCTGATATCATCCCCAACTGCCCTCCCCTGCTGGCCTGAATTTGCCCCCAACTGCTCTCCTCTGCTGGCCTGGTTGCCCCAACTGCCTCTGCTTTGGCCCCTAAAACCATGGCTTCATCCGGAAGGAAGTCAGACATCCAGAAGATGGCCAGTCAGTCCAGTCTAATAAGCATATTACCCTTCTATTAGTATAACTAGATTATATAGGATAGGATTGCTTAAATGGTTCAGGGTGTGGGGGGAGCCTTTTTAATCAGGAGGAGATGCTCTTTGGCAGACAAAAATACACAATCCCTATATCTGACAGCCAGCCATATGCACTATTCTGCCAAACTGGCCATTAAAAAGTTGAACTGCTTTCTTACACCTTATACCAAACAGCTGTTGCCCTTAAAGCCCCTCCTTAGCCCCCACCTTAGGTTCTGCCTTCACAGTTAACCCAGATTAGCTTCTGATTGGTTGGTTTCTATGCCAGTCAGCATCAAAAGCTCCACCTCCTAGGCAGCCATTGGGTCCTTGCAGTTCACCCAGATTTGGTTCTGATTGGTTGGTTTCTATGGCAGTCAGTATCTCCAGGCCTGTCTCTGGGCCTGATCAGAGAGGCAGGGCTGATCAGCAGCCTCCGTGGCTGCTGGTGAGGCCTGGAGAGAAAGAGAGGCAAGGGTTGATCAATAGCTGCCATGGAGGCTGCGCACCAGACCCCATTTCTCATTATGGGCCTCTCTCCGAGTCTGATCCATAGCCCCCTAGGCCCATGGTCGGCAAACTGTGGCTCCTGAGCCACATGTGGCTCTTTGGCTTCTTGAGTGTGGCTTTTCCACAAAATACCATAGCCTGGGCGAGTCTATTTTGAAGAAGTGGCATTAGAAGAAGTTTAAGTTTAAAAAATTTGGCTCTCAAAAGAAATTTCAATCATTATATTGTTGATATTTGGCTCTGTTGACTAATGAGTTTGTTGACCACTGGCCTTGGCAGTTAGTGCTGGGTCACCACAGTGCCTGCAGTGCGACAGTTAGTCCCAGCACTGACTGCAGGACTGACTTCCAGTGTTTGGTCATGCATTCTGTTGTTTTGGATGTTACGGACCTTGGCTCTTTATATATATATATATAGGTTATTCAGACTCAGAAGCTAGTCAGGCTAAACTAACTTCAGGTGAATAACACAATTGTAACCATAGACCTGGTGGTATCTTTTAAATGACTCAAGAATCCTACCTTATAAAAGAGTAATATGCAAATCAACCATCACTCCACTCAAGCCACATCCACAAGCCACGCCCACCAGCCAGTCAGAGCAAATATGTAAATTAACCCCAGCCAAGATGGTTCCAGTCAGAAAGAGCAGTAGAGAAGCTTGGGTTTCCCCAGCAATAGAGGAAGCCAAACCATTTCCACAAACCCTAGCCAGCCTAGGCCTCCACTTAAGGCTACAAAGTTTCAATTATAGAAGATACATAAAACCAAACAAAAATGGTGGCAGCCACTGAGTGAGCAGGAGGCTGGGCTCCGCTCCAGGCTACAAAGTTTCAATTTTAGAAGGTAAATAAATTCCAGATACCAGGGCCTCCACTTGGGTTGCCAGGGGGCGTGGCTGGCCTGCAAAGCACCACAGGCCCCACACCCAGGCCGCCCCACACCCCAAGGGAACCCCCACCCTGATCCAGGACACCCTTCAGGGCAAATCAGCTGGCCCCTACCCATGCACCAGGCATCTATTCTATCTAATAGAAGTGTAATATACAGATTGACCACCACTCCAACACTCCAAGCTGGCTGCCCCCATGTGGTCAAAGATCCTGCCCTCATGTAGACACAAGATGGCCACCACAAGATGGTCAGCAGGGGAGGGCAGTTGGGAGGCACCAGGCCTTCAACGGAGGGCAGTTGGAGGCAATCAACCCTGCAGGGGAGGGCAGTTAGGGGTGGCCAGATCGGCAAAGGAGGGAAGTTGGGGGCAAACAGGCTGGCAGAGGAGCAGTAGACATCAGTCAGGCTGGCATGGGAGTGGTTAGGGTGTGATCAGGCTGGCAGACAGAAGCAGTTAGGGGCAATCAGGAAGGCAGGCAGGTGAGCAGTTGGGAGCCAGCAGTCCTGGATGTGAGAGGGATCGGGTCTAAACAGGCAGTTAAACATTCCTCAAGGGTTTCCAGATTGGAGAGGGTGCAGGCTGGGCTGAGGGACACCCCCATACCCTGTGCACGAATTTCATGCACTGGGCCTCTAGTATGAATATAAATTTCCCGTTATTCCATACTATTCTCAATATATCAATCATCTATTGAGCTTTGGAGAAATAACTTCGTCCCATCATTAACATAACTGTAAACTTAAGGGGTGAATTCTGAAGATAACTGATCTTTTTTATTTTTTATTAGCAAATGACATTTTCTCACCATGTTGACCCATTTACAGAAGACATAATGTTTTTTTTTTTTGTTGTTGTTTTTAAAATATATTTTATTGATTTTTGTACAGAGAGGAAGGGAGAGAGATAGCAAGTTAGAAACATCGATGAGAGAGAGTCATCGATCAGCTGCCTCTTGCACACCCCCTACTGGGGATGTGCCCGCAACCAAGGTACATGCCCTTGACTGGAATCGAACCCGGGACCCTTCAGTCCCCAAGCCGACACTCTATCCATTGAGCCAAACCGGTTTCGGCATACAGAAGACATACTGTTAAGAGTTTCTATTTTCCCTGTGTACTGAAATGAGAGTGCCCAAATATATTTTCTTTCACTTGCAAATGGGCATAGTGTTCTTTCTTCTTGCATTATTTCCTGAGCTTCCCAGACTAGAAACTGGTTTGTTCATAGAATAGAAGAAAGCATGTTTACGTTATGGTGCTTGAGAATATGTCTTTTTTGTTTTGTTTTGTATTTAGTTCTATAAACTGATTTTGGAATGCACAGAAAAGAAATGCATCTAACAGACTCTCACTGGTGGTAGAGTAACAGGGCTATGAGCTTTTGTTGAGTTAGGCAAGATCTAAATTTTTATAATTTGTTTTCCAATTAAGAAATTACGTTGCTTTGCCATTGTTCTCAGCCTAGGAGTAGATACCTTCTGTTCCTTATACTACCTTATTGTTTGTTTTGCAGATCCATTGTTTACTGTGTCAAGTGAGCAAGACCACACACACGCAAATGTCCAAGCATTCCTGAGTCGAAGCAGACTGGTAGGTCTGATTCATTCCCTAAGATAGCCTAATGGACCTGAACCATTGAGTGTGGCTAACTGCTGAAAAGATTGACCTATTGCCCTGGCTGGTGTGGCTCAATTGGATGGGCATTGAAAGTGTTGCTGGTTTGATTCCTGGTTAGGGCACATGCCCTGGTTGCAGGCTTTATCTTTGGTATGGGGCATGCAGGAGGCAGCTGATCGATGTATCACTCTCACATTGATGTTTCTCTCCCCTTCTCCCTGTCCCTTCCTCTCTCTCTAATAATCAATTTAAAACAGATCTATAAAACAAATCTTCACTGGTTTTTATGTTCTACAGAAATTACCTTGCCATGATTACTAGGGTACAAAGACATCTTGATATTTGTGGCCCAGTGTGGGGATTAATAAATTAGTCTATATTACAATAATAAAAGGGTAATAATCTAATTAAGAGTTTCATGCTCTACCGACTGAGCTAGCCAGGCACTTCAGAAGGGTAATAATCTAATTAGACCAGATAGACCAGATGTCTTCCAGACATCATTCCGGATGTCCTTCCTGACAAAGCCCAGGCCTGGGTGGCACCGCCTGGGGTCCTAAGTGCCTGCAGCCTGCCCAGGCGAAGCTGCCCAGCGTCCCAGATGCCTGACCAGGCGGAGCATCCCAGGGTCCCAGGTGCTGGAACAGGTGAAGTTTCCCGGGCCCTGGGTGCCTATAGCAGGTCAGAGGGATGGAAGCCCAGGTCCCAATTGGCTGAGGCCAATCGGAGGAGGGAAACCTGGGTCTTGGGTGCGGGGGCCGAGGCAGAAGTGGTTAGGGGCGATCAAACAGGCAGGCAAGTGGTTAGGGGTGATAAGGTAGGCAGGCAGGCGAGTGGTTAGGAGCCAGCAGTCCTGGATTGCTAGAGGGATGTCTCAACTGCTTAAACTGACAGTTGGACATCCCCTGAAGGGTCCCGGATTTCGAGAGGGTGCAAGCTGGGCTGAGGGACTGCCCCCCTGCTTCCCTGTGCATGAATTTTGTGCACCAGGCCTCTAATAATGAATAAAGGATTCATTATAACCTAATTTATTTAAAATGGGGAAAATGATATATACCTGTATTTAAAGAATTCAATAAGTATAAATGCATATACAATGTGAAGTAAATTTTAACCCTCTATTCTTTTTACATAATCAATCATTATCATTAGTTTCTTGGGTATTCTAGAGATATTCTATGTATATACAATAACTTTTTTCAGTGTCAGATACACTCTTTTTTACCCTTTAAAAAAAGAAGTTTGCAATGCAGTATAAGCAAAAGATTTAGAAAATCTGATGGCATAATTTTGTCCTTTTTCTCCCTGCCTAATGTTAGAGGAAAGTTCCCAGGTTTAGAAACATGTTCAGTAACCTGATCCATTACCCAAGACATTCTATATACTGGAGCAAGGCAGATCCCGTCCCACCATTCATCAATCGGGAATGGAGGGGACATGAGGAGAAACAGAGAAAAGCCCTCCAACAACTTGGCGTGTAAGTGTCAGTTGCTTCAGCTGCTACTCATGTTTTTAATAAATGCATTATTCATATTAAAATATTTATTTATCTTGCATCATTTTAAAATGTATAATTATGATGCTGGTGGTTATAGTTTTGTTGGTTAGCAGATAGTCTCAGAAGGTTGGAGTGAATATATATATATTCACTCCAACACACACAAACACACATATATTAGGTCTAGTAATAATTAATGTCGTTTTCTAATACTTTTTAAAATCGAATTTATTTATTTATTTATTTATTTATTTATTTATTTTTAAAAATATATATATTTTATTGATTTTGTACAGAGAGGAAGGGAGAGAGATAGAGAGCTAGAAACATTGATGAGAGAGAGTCATCGATCAGCTGCCTCTTGCACACCCCCTACTGGGGATATGCCCGCAACCAAGGTACATGCCCTTGACCGGAATCGAACCCGGACCTTTCAGTCCCCAAGCCGACGCTCTATCCATTGAGCCAAACCGGTCTCGGCTAAAATCGAATTTATTTAAACAATACAACAAAATTTAATCAACAATATAGTTGCCGTTGTTTTTTACTACTTGTGCCCAACGCTCAGGAAGCATTTTAATCCCTCTGTTGTAAAATTCTTGTGATTTTGATGCAAAAAATTCGGTCAATGCATTTTTGAGGCATTCTTCATTATTAAATTTTTTTCCAAGAAGAAAGTTTTGAAACAAATGGTAATCGGAAGGGGCAATATCAGGAGAATATGCAGGTTGAGGGAGAACTTCCCATTCCAACTGGCGCAGTTTTTCAGCAGTGATTCTTGCAGTATGCGGTCGTGCGTTATTGTGGTGAAGAATTACGCCCTTCCGATTAATCAGCGCGGGTTCTTTTTCTCTTAAAGCTTGGGCTACCTTTCCAATTGGGCACTGTACACTGCACTTGTAATGGTTTGGTTAGATGGTAAAAGTTCATAATGAAGAATTCCTTTAAAATTCCACCAAACATACAACATCACTTTTTTCGCATGCAAGTCAGGTTTTGGCGTGGGCTGCGGAGCCTCATTTTTGTCCAACCATTGAGGCCGCCTTTTCAAATTAACATACAGCACCCATTTTTCATCTCCGGTAACAATTTGCTCTAAAAACGGCAAACGGTTTTGACGAGAGAGGAGCGAACTGAAAATTGTGACTCTTTGATTACGGTTGTTGTTGGTCAACTCATGAGGAACCCATTTTCCAAACTTTTGGACTTTGCCAAGTGCATGCAATTGATTGGAAATTGTTTTTTGTGAACAATTTAAAGTTGTCGCAAGCTCTTGTTGGGTAATTTGAGGATTTTGCACCAAAAGAGCTTGAAGAGCTTCTTGATCAAAATTGGACACACGGCCTCGACCACTCTTGTCATCTAACGAAAAATTTCCCTCGCGAAATTTCTCAAACCAACTCTGGCATTTTCTGGCGCTAACTGCATCTTGACCAAGAGCACTACAGATGTTTTTTGCAGCCTCACTTGCTTTTCTTCCTAATTGGAACTCGTAAAGCATGCAGTGCCGAATATGCTCTTCATCCGCCATCTTCTTAGCCCTAGTTTTGCAACAAAAACCAAACCAAACACAAACTTTTTCAAGCAAAACTTGTTAATTGCACTTCACACGTTCTGTAGATACCATGTGTTTGAAGGTTATGTCAATACAAGTCAACGCCAAGCAAGATTTTAAACGAATGTTTAAAAACGACATTAATTATTATGATATCTTGCCACCACAGGTGGAGATGACTGAATTTGCTGTTCCTTTGATCCATCTTAGAAATTGGATGTGTACTTTTTTTTTTTAATTTTTTTATTGATTTCTTACAGAGAGGAAGGGAGAGGGATAGAGTTAGAAACATCGATGTGTGAGAGAAACATTGATCAGCTGCCTCCTGCACACCCCCTACTGGGGATGTGCCCGCAACTAAGGTACATGCCCTTGACCGGAATCGAACCCAGGACCCTTCAGTCCGCAGGCCAACGCTCTATCTATTGAGCCAAACTGGTTTCGGCTGGATGTGTTCTTTTCTGGATGTTTCTAAATATATGTTTTGGAGACTTGTAGCCAAAGCACCTTCACAGACAAGTGTGTGTCCTGAATTCCTCATTCTTTTTTTATTTACTCGTTCATACCTAATAAACATTTTTTTAAATGCTGTTTTTCAGCCTGGTATCAAAAGTTATCGTTTAAAACTTTATTATTTTCATGTGCTATTAATTAAAAGTAGGCATTTTTTAAAATGTGGAATTTCATAAATCGACTCCTGTTTTTTTTTAAAATAAAAAGTAATTCTTTCTTTTTAAAAAAAAAGAACTTAAAATTTTATTCTTCAATTATAGTTGACATTCAGTATTACTTTGTATTCATTTCAGTTGTACAGCATAGTGGTTAGGTAACAGTATACTTTACAAAGTGTTCCCCCGAATGTTTCCAGAACCCACCTGGCACCATACATAGTTTTTACAATTTTATTGACTGTATTCCCTATGCTGTACTTTACATCCCCATGACTATTTTGTAACTACCAATTTGTAATTCTTTTTTAAAAAAATATTTTTTATTGATTTCAGAGAGAAAAGGAGAGGGAGAGAGAGAAACATCAATGATGAGAGAGGATCATTGATTGGCTACCTCCTGTATGCCCCCCACTGGGGATCGAGCCCACCACCCGGCATGTGTCCTTAACTGGAATCAAACTTGGGACTCTTCAGTCCACTGGCCAACGCTCCATCCATTGAGCCAAACCAGCTAGGGCACCAATTTGTACTTCTTAATCCCTCAACCTTTTTCACCCCATCCCCCAACCCTTCTCCCCTCTGGCAACCATCAGTGTGTTCTCTGTGTCTATGACAATTGATTCTCTTCTTAACTCTCACTTCCTTTTGTTAGTTCCAGATATCCTGGCTCAGGGAAAGTCAGTCAGATGTATATTAGAGAAGACTTTGCTCTCAGTCTGAAATACACGTATATCTCCTACTTTATAGGCATAGAAATATTAAATAGAAATGGTATTTGGAAATATGTTAGATTTGAATAATGTTTTCCTGTTTTATTTTAGATATGACACTTCTTTTCAAATGCCTAAAGAGGTTTATGAAGATCCTGATGTCACTGGGAAGAATCGCTATAGATATTTTGAGAGGTAGAAAGAAATTACTAAGAATATGAGCCCTGATATTAGTAGAGAACCTCTTTATGATAATGAGAGCTGCTATCGTTTTTAAGTGCATGCAATGTGCCAGGCACCACTTTAAGTGCTTTATATATTTATATATTTTTTAAACTTTCACAACAGAAATGTAGGCTAGCATATATTATACAAATTTACCACTAAGGAAGCTATAACCAAGAGAGGATAATAAATTACTCATGGTCACCCAAGTTAGCAAGTGACAGAGCTGGGATCCCAACTAATTCTGCCTGACTTCAGAGCTACTTATAAGAAAGTATATTTGGAGAAAAAAAAAAAAGTCATCACATGAAATGAGATATACTAGAGCCACCATGACAGTCATACTGCAGGGAAAATTGTTAAAATGGAGTAAATAGATGACATTTGCTCTCTTTGTGTGAATGTTGCCAAGACTGACATGGTTAAAGATTCCCTTTGTTTCATTTGTACTCAAGAGAGAATCTTATACTCAGATCAAATTAATGTAAGATGAAGACTTCCCTATAGGTCTCACCTGAGTTAGAAAAATAGTCTTGGTATAGCTACATAAGCTTCCTCGAGAAAGGAAATTTGTAGTCCACATTATTATTTATGAGCAAACTCCTTATGGACATTTTATGATGCTGACTTTTTCAGAGAAATATTAAATTCTTAACAGAGTATACTCAATTCCTAGACTTTTTGGGGGAAGTTTTTAAAACTAAATCATTGGGAATGTCAGAATGTCTCAGGGAACTTGAGAAGTTTCTGGAAGCTAACTACCAACTGAAGCCCAAGTATAGGGCATTGCTTCTCAAAGTGTTCCTTGTTTCCCACCTGCAGAGAAGACACGGCGGCGGTTGTTAAAGGTACAGCCTCATTGGCTCTGCCACATATCTACTGCATCCCCGGGTCTAGTCTTGGGACTGCGCACTTTGAACAAGAATGTCTCCCCTCCCTAGTGATTTTATGTACTTCAAAAGTTCAAGGATCACTGACATAACAGGCTGTTCCAGCTCAGTGGGGGAAAACAGTGCACACAATGTAAAAGTCCCTCATGTTTGTATTTTTCTTTCGCCCCCAGGCCTTTCCTTCCATATTATCAAGAGACGCCGCCCAATGTTGTTTTGGCATCAACCATGTAAGTAACCATTATTGTAAAACTTTTTAAATAGTTTATTTATTTATTGCTTGCTTCCATATTTGTTTCCAGAAAATAGTTTTCTAAATCAATATTTTTCTAACTGGATCACAAACCATTAGATGTCATGAAATCTGCCAGTGGGTCATGAGTAACGTTTTTAAAAATGAAATGGAATAAATAACCAAAATCATCAGCCATCTGGAGGTTAGGTTGTTTTTTAGTTATAAAATTTGTTTTGGATAGATGTATACATATATGTTCATATGTATATAATGGTTATAATGTAAATGTATTTTTTATTATGAGTTAGGGTAAAAATAAAGTTTAAAATGTTTTAAATGTTCTTTTTTCTTTCCTGAAACACACGCTAATTTGACAATAGTTTATCAAGAAGGCTAATTCATCACAAAATATTTTTTGAATACTATAATTCAATGTGTTATGCAAAAGTAAAAAAATAAATGATACACAGTTTCTGTCCCACAAGGGAGTGAACCAGGGTGAGAGAGAAGTAGTGGATAAGGGCTGAATCTGGGATTAATGTGAAGTTCCCCAGTTTTTTATTTTAAGATGAAGCTGTGGGTTAGGTAAAATTTCCCATTAAAAATCTAATTTTTGCTGTGCTATTTCCCGTGAAAATATAACTTAATATTTCTATGAGAGAAAAAATAATTCAAGGTATTCATGAAATGATCAGGAAAAGAAACCTTTTTTTAATGTCTCAAATTTCTGAATAGAAATTTAGACAGGGCCTGGCTTTCAAAGAAGGATTTGGTTACTCCTAGTGATATAGCATCTTATGAATAAAATATCCTATCTAATAAAGAGAGAATATGCTAATTGACCCTCATGCCATTGCAAAAGATGGTGGCATCCACAGCCAATTAGGAGGAAATATGCTAATTGACTGCTCTGCTCTCAAAGATGGCAATACCCACAGCCACAAGATGGCTGCGCCCAGTCCCTTCAGCCCTGCTGGGGTGGCAGGCATGTGGCAAAGCCAGGCCTGTCCCCAGGTGGGACTGGCCGCTCTGTGTGCATACCTCCTGTATCCCAGCCACCCAGAGGTACTTACTGTACCCCAGCCACCCAGGGCACAGGCAACCTAGAATTCTGCATTCTACAAAATTATATTTGAAAAGTGAAGGAAAAATACTTTCTCAGGCAAATAACAATAGGGAAAATGTGTAGCCATTGGACCTACCTTATAAGAAATGTTAAAAGAAGTTATTTAGAGAGAAGGAAATAATATAGGTCAGAAACTTGGATCTACATAAAGAGAAGAGTGTCAAAGATAAGTAAAATAAACACTTTCACTTTTCTTAATTGACCTAACAGTTGACAAGTTGTTAAAAATAACAACAGTATATTTGATTATGTGTGCTTGTGTGTACATCTTGTCAGAATGGATGAAACAGCCCAGCCAGCATGGCTCAGTGGTTGAGCATCCACCTATGAGCCAGGACGTCACAGTTCCATTGCATTGGCGAGGACTTCCGGTACAAGGTGAAAGCCTTAGATGATTGATGCATCAGGGCACATGCCTGGGTTGCCAGCTCCATCCCCAATGTGGCGCATGCAGGAGGCAGCTGATTGATGGTTCTCTCTCATGATTAATGTTTTTCTCTCTCTCTCCCTCTCTCTTCCTTTCTGAAATCAATACAAATATATTTTTTTAAAAAAGAATGGAGCAATAAGAACCAATATATCTTGTCAACACAAAACCCACTTTAAATATAAAGACATGAAAAGATTAAGAGTAAATGGACGGAGCAAAAATATATACCATATTATCACTAATTAAAGCAGCAGCAGCTAAAATTTCAGATAGAGCAGACTTCAAAGCAAGAACAATTATCAGGGATAAAGAGAAACAGATGAGTCTACTATTATAGTTGGCAACTTCAACATCCTTTTATCAGAAATGGATACATCTAGCAGGCAGAAAAATCAGTAAGGCCCTACTTGAACTCAACACCACTATCAATCAACTGAATATAATTAATATTTATAGGCTACTTCATCCAAAAACAGTAGGATACTTTCTTATTAAGACCACATGGACCATTCGCCAAGATGGACCACATTCTGGGCCATAAAACACAATTTAACAAATGTAAAAGCATAGAAATTGTACCATGACCACAATAGAAGTAAACTAGAAATTAATAATAAATAACTGAAACTACCCAAAATACATAAAGATTAAGCAAAACATTTCTAAATAACACATAGGTCAAAGAAGAAATCTCAAGAGATATTAAAAAATATTTTGAACTAAATAAGAAAGATAATACAACTTATTAAAATTTGTGGAATGCAGTGAAAGCAATGCTTAGAAGGAAATTGATAGTACTGAATGCATCAATCATTTCACCTTGTACTGGAAGTCCTAGCCAATGCAATGAGACAAAAAAGGAAATAAAAGGTTTACCAATTGGAAAGGAAGAAATAAAACTGTCTGTTAGCAGATGAATGTTTATCTATGCAGAATATGACAGAATTGACTAAAAAACCCTCCTGGAATTAGTAAGTGATTATAGCAGGTTGTAGGAAACAAGGTTAATATACAAAGGTTAATTGTTTTCCTATATATTAGCAAAAAACAAGTAGAATTTGAAATTAAAAGCACAATACTATTTACATTAAGATCAAAACATGAAAAAACTTAGGTATAAATATAAATATAAATATAAATATAAATATAAATATAAATATATATATGACCTGTGTGAGGTAAACTGCAAAACTTTGATGAAAGAAATCAAAGGACTAAATAAATGTAGAGATAGTCCATATTAATGGATAGGAAGGAAGATTCAATATTATCAAGATGTCAGTTCTTCCCAACTTGATCTATAGATTCAATCTCAATCAAAATCCTCACAAATTATTTTGTTAATATAGAAAAAAACTGATTCTAGAACTTATATGAAGAGTCAAAAGACCAGAATAGTCAGCACAACACTGAAGAAGACAAAGTTGGAGAACTGACACTACCTGGCCTCAATACCTACTATGAAGTTGTAATCAAGATACCGTATTTTCCTGCGTGTAAGACGACCGCCTAATTTTACAGTTAAAACATAGGTTTAGGCCTATATTCGTTGTATAAGACTACCCCCCACTTCCAAGGCAATACCAGTTCTTTTTTTAATAGACCGCCTCTCTGACTCTGGCCAATCTGAGCAGGCTTTTTACTAGAACACAGTGTAGCTTCGGGTACAGAACATGTATAATTTGCATGCATAAAAAGCCTGCTCGGATTGGCTGAGTCAGAGAGGCGGTCTATTAAAAAAATAACTGGTGTTGCCTCGGAAGTGGGGGGTAGTCTTATACAGCGAATATAGGCCTAAACCTATGTTTTAACTGTAAAATTAGGGGGTCGTCTTATACGCCGGAAAATACGGTAGTGTGGTATTAGGGAAAGAAAAGACAAATCAATCAATCATATGGAACAGAGAGTCTAGAAATAGACCCATATAAACATAATAAACTGATATTTGTCAAGGAGAACAATGGAGAAAGGTCAGTCTTTTTAACATATGGTCCTGAAACAACTAGATTGTCCATATTACAGAGAGACAAAAAAGCAATCCCATTTACCATCACACAAAAATTAAGATACCTAGGAATAAACTTAACTAAGGTGGTAAAAGGCCTATATGCGGAAAACTACACGACACTGAAAAAAGAGATAGAGGAAGACATAAACGGATGAACATACCATGTTTTTGGATTGATAGAATCAACATCATCAAAATTTCCATACTATCTAAAGCAATCTATAAATTCAATGCACTCCCCATTAAAATATTAATGGCATATTTCACAGACCTAGAGCGAACTTTTCAAAAATTCATCTGGAATAAAAATGATCCCGAATAGCTACAGCAATCATGAGAAAGAAGGACAAAGTAGTTGGAATCTCAATATCAGATATCAAGCTGAATTACAAAGCCACTGTTCTCAAAAAAGCCTGGTATTGGCACAAGAACAGACATAGATCAATGGCATATAATAGATAACCCAGAAATTGACCCAAATCACTATACTCAATTAATATTTGACAGAGGAGGCAAGAGAATACAATGGAGTCAAGACAGTCTCTTCAATAAATGTTGTTGGGAAAATTGGACAGATACATGCAAAAAAATGAAACTAGACCACCAACTTACACCATACACAAAAATAAACTCAAAATGGATCAAGGACTTAAACATATGATGGGAAACCATAAAAATACTAGAGGAATCTAAAGGCAGAAAAATCTCTGACATATGCCAAAGCAATTTCTTCACTGATACTGCTCCTAGGGCAATGGAAACTAAAAAGAAAATAAACAATGAGACTACATCAAAATAAAAAGCTTTTGCATAGCAAAGGAAACAATCAATAAAACAACATCAATCAGAACATCAAACCTCAGGGAAGGGGACAGTGGGGGTAAGAGGAAGAGATCAACCAAAGGATTTCCAGGCATAGACAACAGGGCGGTGGAGCATTAGTGGAGATGGGGGGTAATGGGGGAATAAGGGCACATATGTAAAAGATAATAATATATCATTAAAAAAATAAAAAATTAAAAAAAAGAATATTTTCCAGCCAGTGTGGCTCAGTGGTTGAGCAGAAACCTATGAAGCAGGAGGTAATGGTTGGATTTAAGGTCAGGATACATGCCCAGGTTGCAGGCTCAATCCCAGGAGGCAACCAATCAATGATTCTCATCATTGATGTTTCTCTCTCTCTCTTCCTTTCCCTTCCTCTCTGAAATAAAAAATCTACACTAACAAAAGAGAAACATGCAAATTAACCATCACTCCACTATACCCACCAGCCAATCAGGAGGGAATGTGCAAATTAGAAGGAGAAAGATGGCAGCCGCCCAGCTGCTCAAGGTGAGGAGTGGCTAGGTGGGGCAGGATGCCTGCTATGAGAGGGAGGAGGGTGTGGGCCACGAAGGCATCTATAGGAGTGGCACTTTGGCCACAGCGAAG